GCATCATGGGGTGGCCTTACTTTTATCCTTTATTTTTATTTCCAATTCATTATAACCTGTAATATTTAACACCCAGTTATGACCAGCTTCTGGCCAGACCCTCTCTGATGTCACTGTCACATCATCAAAGCTGCATTTAGAGCTTCAGCCCCAGTCCATTTGTGTATTTGACTCTCAGTCCATAAACCTTTTTCTCAGGTATGAGACCTTGTTCTTGTGTGCAGATGCTGCTTTTCTCAGTGTTTGAATTCTCACTTTTCTTGTGTCCCTATTATCTAGATCTTGTACCTTCACTCTGGGTGTGATGATGGACTGACTGTGTGTTAGAAGGAGCTGGCTGCACTTTTCCTCATGCTGAGGAATCACCACATCCTTTTTGGTTCCCACAAGAATTGACTGTGCAAGAAAGAGAAAAGAACATCTCTAGTAACTTAAGGTCAGGTGAGGTGAAAGGTTTCCATATGTCCATTTCTCCATATATAATGGTCTATGAGAGAGAGTATAGGTATCTGCCAGATTTGCTGCTTCACTGGTCTTGAATATTTGATGCTCATCTAAATAAGTTTCTACATTTGAAAGACTTTTTAAAAAATCATTCCATGATAATAATTTCCTTTGCATTCTCAAAACGTTTTTCTAATTTGACTGATCGAAACCACTGCCATTTTGTCAGTCCAACTACCTTCTCAGATGAGGTAAAATATGTTTCAACTCCATCCTTGTTCAATTACTTCAAGTTACATTACTTACAAAATAAAAACTGAAAGAACTGCAGATGCTGTGAATCAGCAAAAACAGAAATTGCTGGAAAAGAGCAGTAGGTCTGAGACATCTGTGAAGAGAAATCAGAGTTAACATCTCTGGTCTGGTGACCCCTCCTCAGTTCTCAGGAAGGGTCACCAAACCCACAAACCTTAACTCTGATTTCTCTTCACAGATGCTGCCAGATCTGTTGAGCTTTTCCAGCAATTTCTGTTTTTGTTGTATTACTTAGTTGTTCATTGTATAAATTAGAAAAAATGAGAAATAAAGTTTAAAAAGATAAACATTACAACCCTTATAGAAAGGGCCTGCAGTAGATGAACACGGTGGGGGGGGGCTTCCACACATGGTCTGCACAAGCTCGTAAGCCGCTAACTGC